GTGCCCGCAACCCAGGTACATGCCCTTGACCGGAATCGAACCTGGGACCCTTCAGTCCACAGGCCAGCGCTCTATCCACTGAGCCAAACCGGTTTCGGCGCCTCACAGTTTTTTTTAAGGGAGAGAGAAACATTGATTTGAGAGTAGAACATTGATTGGCTGCCTCCTGCACACCTCCTACCGGGGATGAAGTCTGAAACCCAGGTGTGTGCTCTGACTGGGAATCAAACTGGCAACCTTTTGGTGCACGGGATGACACTCAACCAACTGAGCTACACCAGCCAGGGCCCAAGTGTACTCTTTTGACTAACAGCACTGGCGTTATATGGGAGCTTGTTGGAAAAGTAAAATCTCAGGCCCAACCTAAGATCTACTGAGTTAGATTGCATTTTAAACAAGATTAATAATTAGTAAACTTTGAGAAGCACAGTCAGGTCTCTTAAGTGCTTAAGTGTTGGAACTGAGGTTAAAAACAAAATTCCTAGGTTCTTCCCCAGGTGATTATCATTCTATTGGTCAATGGTGGGGCCTAAGAATCTGTATTGTTAATACAGATAGGTGTCTAGGGTATCCTTATCCTTGGGCAAGCATAAGGATTAGAAAACTGCTGCTCTGAAGTAGACATCAGATTTTGTCATTATCCACTTAAAGCTAAAACCTCTTTAGTGTCTCCCCATGGCCTATTGCAGCGGTTCTCAGCCTTAGGTGTTCACACCTAGGGAGTATTTAAAAATCCTGATGCTAGGCAGTTTTCAAATAAATTAAATCAGAAATCTCTGGGGAAGGGACCCATCTATTGGTGTGTTTTTCAAAGCCTCCAAGTTGCGGCCAATGTTGAGAAACAGTGGAAATGATGAAGCCTGAGCTCCTTAACCTGGCTTAGAAAGCCTGACTATGAAAAGCCTTACCTACCTTTCCAGCCCTATTTTGCACATTTTTGCATATGCACATTACACTCCAGCCTCACTAAACTCCCCGCAACTCCCAAAACCTATAGTACGTTCATGCCTCTGGATCTTTGTACAGGTTGTGCTCTCTGAATACTTCTACTGCCCTGGCAAACAGTTATGTATCCCTAAGAACTAAATTACCACTTAGCTTTCCCTTCAGGGACCTGACACACTTACCCAGGCAGAGTGAATCATTCCCTTCTCTGTGCTAACACCATTCCTCTTCATAGAGCTTTATTACTATAATTATCACATTATATTAATGGGCTACAAATATTATATCTTGAGGACAGGAACTATGTGTGGTTCATGTTTACATCCCTAACACCTAGCAAAGGGCCAGGAATAGAGTATGCAGCCATTAATGTTTGCTGACTTAAAGGAACAAAAACAAAACAAGCAGGATTATTACTTTCCTTTTTCTTTTTTAAAAAGCCACATCAAAATATTTTTTCCTTCATTTTTCCGCCATTACCATTTATCATCCCCATACCCTCTCCCACCTCCACCTACTCACCTCCCCCCATTAAAATCTTAATTAGAAAAGAATTTTTAAGCTGTGAATTTTACTTGGATAAATATACCCAAAAGCACTCCTAAGAGAGAAATAAGCCTTTTCCTTAATCCAGTATCAATTAATTTAGTCCACATGTTCTTTCTAAGGCCTTTTAAAAATCAAAATGAAATTCCTCTAACATAAAATTAACCATTTTAAAGTAAAATTCAATGTCATTTAGTAAATTCACAATGTTACCCAAACAACACCTATATTAGCTCCAAAATATTTTCATTACCCAAAAGAAAACTCTGCACCCCTCAAGCAGTCACTCACTTCCATTCCCTTGGTAGATCTTAGAAATCACCAAGACATCCGAGAGATGCAAATCAAAACAACAATGAGGTACCATCTCACACCTGTCAGACTGGCTATCATCAACAAATCAACAAACGACAAGTGCTGGAGAGGATGTGGAGAAAAAGAAACACTCATGCACTGCTGGTGGGAATGCAGACTGGTGCAGCCACTATGGAAGACAGTATGGAGTTTCCCCAAAAAGTTAAAAATGGAACTCCCATTTGACCCTGTGATCCCACTTCTAGGAATATATCCCAAGAAACCAGAAACACCAATCAGAAAGGATATACGCACCCATATGTTCATAGCAGCACAATTCACCATAGCTAAGATCTAGAAACGGCCTAAGTGCCCATCAGTAGATGAATGGATTAGAAAACTGTGGTACATCTACACGATGGAATACTATGCTGCTGTAAAAAAGAAGGAACTCTTACCATTTGCAACGGCATGGATGGAACTGGAGAGCATTATGCTAAGTGAAATAAGCCAGTCAATGAAGGAAAAATACCACATGATCTCACTCGTTCATGGATAATAAAGACCATTATAAACTTATGAACAATAATAGATACAGAGGCAGAGCTGCCTCAAACAGATTGTCAAACTGCAGTGGGAAGGCCGGGGAGGGTTGGGGGGCAGGAGGTAGGGGGGTAAGAGATCAACCAATGCAATGCTTGTATGCATGCATATAAGCATAACCAATGGACATAAGACACTGGGGGGGTAAGGGAGGCCAAGGGATTATCAAGGGCGGGGGAAGAAAAAAAAAGGGCACATATGTAATATCCTTTGTAATACTTTAAGCAATAAAACAATAAAAAAAAAAAAAGAAAAGAAACCACCAAGAACATTAATTTTTAGGTTACATTAAACTGTTCAAAAGATACAAAGCAGATATTTAAAGAGATGTAGATTCTAAAATGGCTGCACAATTGCTTCTAGATACACAGAAAAGAGCACAAGTATAGTTTTTCAATAATTTCAAAAACTCCCAATGTTTTATTAACAATTTTATGTACAATTGATATCAAGTTTTGAAAACTGACTGATAAACATGTCCAGAGTTTCTTATATAGTCAATGTACAAATACTCACTTATATTCCGCACATTAATAATGAAGACGAAAATGACACAATAGTTATAGCTACATTAAAATATATACAAGGATTCAACCCACACTTGATGTTATTTGGCTTATAACTGTGTAGATACTACACACAAAAAAGGATGATGTAATTTTAAGAAAAGATGTGATCAAAATAACTTTTCTTCTTACAATTTAAAAATAAAATTCCTGACAATAATTACTAATTTATAGGCAAATATTAGACTAATTCAAATTAGCCAGGGTTAGACATAGGTTAAATTAAACACTTTGCGTTTTTTAAAAAATATATTTTTATTGATCTCAGGAAGGAAGGGAGAGCGAGAGCGATAGAAGCATCAATGATGAGAGAGAATCATTGATTGGCTGCCTCCTGCAGGCCCCCTACTAGGCACGGAGCCTGCAACCTGGGCATGTGCCCTTGACCGGAATCGAACCTAAGACCCTTCAGTCTGCAGGCCGACGCTCTATCCACTGAGCCAAACCGGCTAGGGCACTTTACATTCTTAAAAATAAGATGTTCAGTCCAAAAAATATACAATTGATAACATTTTCTGAAAAAAATAATCAAGAATGGCTTAACCATATTCTTCCAGATTTTGAAAACACACTAGAAAAAGTGAATATTGAACAGTCGATTCTTTGGAAAGCTGCACTACCCCTACCTAGTACTGACTGGAAAACGTCCTTATGGGGCCCCAGTGATCAGATCTAATGTGAAACTCACAATGAAAAACTAATACTGAAAACAAAGAGGAGAAAGTAATAACCAGTTGTTTTATTGATGTAACTTATAAGGTATGAAAAGATATTAATGTAGTTTAGAAAAAGATTCAACTAGCCCAGGCCGGTGTGGCTCAGTTGGTTGGTAGCTTCGATTTTCAATTAGGGCACATGCCCTGGTTGAGGGCTTAATCCCAGGTAGGAGACATGCAGGAGGCAGTCCACGAATGTTTCATTCACATCAATGTTTCGCTCTTGCTCTTTGTCTCTCTTCCTTTTCCTTCTCTCTCTCTCTCTCTCTCTCAAATTAAAAAAAAAAATCTTAAAAAAAAGATTTAACTATTAGGGAATTAATTAGACATTGAGAATCACTCATCTTATGATGACCTCAAAAATAGTATTTCACACATTATCAGGGTGCTAACTCACTAAATAGGAAATTTAGTTTCTAAAAACTCTTATCTGCATTTTATTTTACTGGTTTGAGAAGCAGCTTTCTGTTTTGAGAATTACATGATATAATATAATCATATATAGTTAAGTTAATGGTTCAGAAGCAAAATGATAATAGTTTAAAAAAAGGAGCAAGACCCTTTTCATTAGGTTGTGACACCAGGCTAAGAGGGCTTAGGGTTGGAAAGCAAGAAGTGTGGGTAATGCATGGGCTCAGGTTAAATCTGTTTATGCTCAAGGAGAGGAAGGGATCTAGAGAACCAGGAATATTAGCGGCACCTGGATGTGGAGTTACCACAGTGGGTCAGAAACAGGCTGGTGCAACAACCTCTGGCCCAACTGCTATGGGAACCAACCCCTACTCAATATGAAATTGAGAACACAAATATCTCAAAGTACGTTTACCAAAAATAGACTATTGACCCTCATATTACAAAGCACAGAAGGAGGAGACATTTGATTATTTTAAAAAGTAAGCTAAAAATTAGATTTCTCCTTACTTCATCTTAAAAACGAACCCAAGGAACAAGCATTTAAAAAATTCTAGGACTATTAATATGTTTAAAGGCACTTAAAACATTCCTTTCTTTCCTTTTTGTTGTTGACCCTCACCCAAGGATATTTTTCCATTGATTTTAGAGAGAGTGGAAGGGAGGGGGAGAGACAGAGAGAGAAATATGGATATGAAAGAGACACATCAATTGGGGATCGAGCCTGCAAACGAGGCATATGCTCTTGACTGGAATCGATCCCCAGACCTTTCAGTCCTCTGGCCAACGCTCTATCCACTGAGCCAAATCAGTTAGGGCAAAAACATTCCTTTCTAATCCAACTCAAAATACATCTCTGTCAACTACATTTTGCATGAATGTTAAAAAAAAAAAAAAAAGTGTATAATTTTCGTGCAATTTTTCTTATAATTCAGTGATATTTACCATATACAAGGTTGAAAGTTCTGAAGGATAGAGCCCCAACTTTATGCAAAACAACCTGAAAGTGCTTTTATCACAAAAACAGGAAAGGCACTAATGGTTTGCTCTTTCACTGACAACATCTTGTAGTCTTTTAAGTAAAACATCATCATTTTCTTGACAGAGGCGTTTGGCAGGTGATTCTGCATCACCATCAATGGCTATTGCTCGCTTCTTGGTTCTCTGTTCACCTTGCCTTATCATGTTGTTGATATCTTTCAAACTCTGTGCAAAAATAGAGGACATGCATGAGCAAAGGGGAAAAGGGAACTAGCACCAAAGAACGAAGCTAACTGCTTTTTCCTGCCCTCTATCCTGCTGGGGTACAGATTATTTTTTTAAACTCAAGGTTAACTGAATAAGGGTAATTATAACTAATCTTTTCAGGAGTTTTTTAAAAAAACGATTTACCTTATAGCAGTAGTTCCCAGTGTGAACATAGAACAGATGCAGCAGAAGCATCTAGGAATATATTAGAAATGCAAATTCTCATGCCTCATCCTACTGACTCAAATGTTGGGGGGTGGGGCCTAGCAATCTGTTTCACCCCTCTAGTTGATTCTGATGCTTCCTATAGTTTGAGGTCCTCCTCTTAAAGCAATGCTTTTGAAATTTTATGTACCTACTAATCATCTGGGGATCTTGTTAAAAATACAGACTCAGATTTAGTAGGGCTAGTGTGATGCCTAAGCTTGCATTTCTAAAATGCTCCCAAGTGATGCTGATGTTGCTGGTCTGAAATCCACACTCTCAATAGCAAGGCATTACAGAAGTGTTTCCTAAAAGCTGTGCATCACAATTGTGTAGAGCTAACTGCCAAAGTTTTGTGACTCAGTAGGTCTATGGGACAGGTATCTTGTCTTCAACAAGCTCCACAGGTGATCCTGACCCATGTTTTGAAATCATTGCCTTAGAAATCAGTTGGTGCCATCTTTGATTTCATGCATCTTCTAAACATCCTTATGGGAAATCGACTTCTAAGAAGAGGAAATGTAAATCTGTGAGGTGCTCTATCTCGGTGTTTTGTTGCTAAGTATAGTAAAAACTCAACAGATGTTTGTGGAACTGAATGAGAAAGTCATGAGTTAAGGAGCTGCCCTTGTATTTGGATTGAGTTACAATCTGTCCCAGTACAATTTTTTGCAGTTGGCAGTGATTCTGGCTTCTGGAGACATACTGAACATATCTCCTTGATAGCCCTTCAAATATAAAAAAACAGCAATCATGTCCCAGTCACATCTTCATCATGGTACAGGATAAAGAGAGATAACAGAGCTGTCAATGTAAATAAGAGGAGGCCTCTTTTCAGACTTTACTATCCTTGTTATGATCCACCAAATGAGCTTTCACTTTCAAAGCCTTTCTTTAAACTTAATGTTCCCCATTTCTGACCACTAACAGGTGTTGCATTATTGGTGGCCCCTCCTCAAGATTAAGCTTGAGCAGGAAGACACACGACTCTTCACACTGAACTCCTCCAATACCATGTCAATAGTAATGGATTAAACTACCTCAACTGAATACAATGCTCCTGTTCACAGGAAATTTGCCATAGTATCAGTTCATATTTATTAGTAGTAACTATTCAAAACAGAGAGAGCAGATTAAAAATTACTAACTGGTAATGTGAAATCCAATTTTTAACAAATGTACATAAGTTGTTTTGGAGTAAAGTTTTTGTGTACCTTACCTTAGAAGGGCTGCCATTGAACTTATACAGCAGAGCAGTCCTTGGCGTAAGGCCTGACCCATTCTTGTGTGGGGAAACATAAACAGAGTGCTGTTGGGAAATTCGGCGTGGTGAGCCGGGCTGTTGCTTAATATGTGGAAAAGGAGAGAGTGGTGGAGCTTCCATCTGAAATAACCCAAAAGTAAGTTGTTTTAAGATAAAAGTTTTCTTTCTTTTTGGAATTCCACCATATTTTTATTCTTACTGGCATCTCCTAGGTGGGAGTCAGTTATATTGTAGGAACTTATTTATGGCTGAATAAAAGCAAAGAAATGGTCCATTACCCCTTATTTTTCCACAATTACTAAGAGAGAAACTAAAATGTATTTTCCTGGATCTTTCAGGAAACCCTGAAGAATTCTGGGTAAGACACCAGCAACACTAAGCCAAGAGTATAGGAACCCCACATCCATTCTCAGAAAGTAGGGGCAAAAAATAATCAATGTCCTAATACTTACAACAAAAAATCTCTCTCAACACACACATACCCACAGCCAAAGCAATAGTAGAGAGCATAAAAGAGAGGTGGAGAATTCTATGAGCCAGAAGGCTCAGTTCAACATAGAACAAATCTGTTAATGAAATATTAAAACTTTATAATAAAACACAAAAGATTTAGGGAAAAAGAGAAATAGAGTTTGGTGAGCTGAGTCTGTACTTTTCTTTAATATTTGTTACAATGTTTCCTTCTCAAGAATAAAGATGGTTCCTTAATTATTACTCATTTTCATCTTGAAGCTAATAAAATTAGTTGCAATTGGCTGATGATAGAGATATTCAAAAGCATAGCATATGATGGGAGCTAGAACTTTAGGATGAGTAGTCATGGCCTCTGAGGACAGATAGAAAGCATATTCCTTGGAAGGAATAAGAACAGAAATGTAAAGAGACACACAGAGAAACGTACATGGCTACTGGCTGGGTATAGCTTCTACTATGTTCCTCTTTCTTAAAACTAAAGTCTTATCTATTGGGAATCAAGTTGGTTTTTATACTGGTAATACTACTTTCACAAACTGGTTCCACTGCTAAAGCTAGGATTTGCATAAAAATTTCTTAGCACTGCCTCTATTTATAATTCAGGCCTATCTATATCCTTTCCTCTTTATTTTGCGAAACACATTTATTTCATTAATACAACAATAGAAATAAAAAACAAGAGAACAGTTACCATATTAAATTTTTTTTGTTTTGTTTTGCCCTAGCCAGTTTGGCTCAGTTGATAGAGTGTTGGCCTGCAGACTGCAGAGTCCTGGGTTCGATTCTGGTCAAGGGCACATGCCTGGGTTGGGGGCTCAATCCCCAGTAGGGAGCATGCAGGAGGCAGCTGATCAATGATTCTCATCACTGATGTTTCTATCTCTCTCTCCCTCTCCTTCCTCTCTGAAATCAATAAAAACATATTAAAAAACATTTTTTTCCTGTTCGCATCTAGTCCTTGCCCATATGTATACATAATTTCTAGCAACATAATGATAGTATGGATTAAATTTCCATGTTTTCCTCTGGTCTCTGCTGTTTCACAGCCTTAATCACTTTGTGATTACTAGTATATTTTGTCCTATAATACATCAGTGAAATACTTATCTAGCAAAATAAACTCATAATAATCTAACTATGACTAAGATATTAATAAAGCAATAAAATATAAAACGTACCATATGGTCCTGATTTGACAAGTCATATTTCAATGCAAATGACTTCACTCTTCCTACATATATTGTATTGTAAAATTTGATAAGATCGCCCCTTTCCTCTCTCACTGGTGCACTGGAACAATCAGGTGTTTTTGTAACATCTTCCAAGTCTGTTAAAAAAATTCAGTGTTGTGATAGATATACTACTTTAATATGTAAGTCAATTATTTAAATTATAACTCTCTCTACAATATAAAAAAACATCAAGTAGACACATCTTTATGTAAAGCAATCAATGTTTTCAGAAAAGGTTCAGAAATCTACAATTATTATGCATAAATTAAATTGAAATCTTGAGAAATACAAACATGTAAACTTAACGTGGTACTCTTTTCTCTAGATACACTTTTCTTTAGATACCTTTAAAAAAATATTTTTAAATTTATTGATTTGAGCCCAGCTGGTGTGACTTAGTGGTTGAGTGTGACCCATGAACCAGGGGGTCAAGGTTCAATTCCCAGTCAGGGCATATGCCCGGGTTGCAGGATTGATCCCTTGTGTGAGGCAACGGATCAATGATTCTCTCTCACCATTGACGTTTCTTTTTTTTTTTTTTTTTTTTTTTTTATATTTTATTGATTTTTCACAGAGAGGAAGGGAGAGAGATAGAAAGTTAGAAACATCGATGAGAGAGAAACATCGATCAGCTGCCTCCTGCACATCTCCCACTGGGGATGTGCCCGCAACCCAGGTACATGCCCTTGACCGGAATCGAACCTGGGACCTTTCAGTCCGCAGGCCGACGCTCTATCCACTGAGCCAAACCGGTTTCGGCACCATTGACGTTTCTATCCCTCTCTCCCTCTCCCTTCTTCTCCCTGAAATCAATAAAACATAGCTTTAAAAAAATTTATTGATTTAAAAGAAACATCAGTTTGTTGTTCCACTTATCTATGCATTCACTGGTTGATTCTTGTATGTATCCTGACCAGGGATAGAACCTACAACCTTGATGTATTATGATGACGCTCTAACCAACTCTCTGAACTCACTGTCATTCTTAGAGAAGCACTAGCCTTGGGTTGGTGTTTAGCTAAAGGGCTTGCATATATTCACATTGCAGAAAGGTGGAAAGACTCTAAGGTAAGGCAGCCCTAGCTGGTTTGGCTCAGCGGATAGAGCATCGGCCTGTGGACTCAAGGGTCCCAGGTTTGATTCCGGTCAAGGGCATGTACCTTGGTTGCAGGCACATCCCCAGTAGCGGTGTGCAGGAGGCAGCTGATCAATGCTTCTCTCTCATCAATGTTTCTAACTATCTCTCTCCCTTCCTCACTGTAAAAAAATCAATAAAATATATTTTTAAAAGAACAAAAAAAATCTGTGGTACATCTACACAATGGAATACTATGCTGCTGTAAAAAGGAAGGAACTCCTACCATTTGCAACAGCATGAATTGCGCTGGAAAGCATTATGCTAAGCGAAATAAGTCAGTCAGAGAAAGATAAGTATCACATGATCTCATTCATTTGTGGAATATAATGAACAACATAAACTGATGAACAAAAACAGATCCAGAGACAGAGAAGCATTGACCAGACCGTCAAACCTCAGAGGAAAGGTAGGGGAGGTTGGGGGTAAGGGAGAGAGATCAACCAAAGGATTTGTATGCATGCATATAAGCCTAACCAATGGACACAGACACCAGGGGGTGAGGGCATGAGCGGGGGGGTGAGGGGGTTTGGGGGAAAGCGGGGGGATAAGGACACATATATAATACCTTAATCCAGGGGTCCTCAAATTACGGCCCGCGGGCCACATGCAAATACAAATATTGTATTTGTTCCCGTTTTGGTTTTTTACTTCCAAATAAGATATGTGCAGTGTGCATAGGAATTTGTTCATAGTTTTTTTTTTAAACTATAGTCCGGCCCTCCAACGGTCTGAGGGACAGTGAACTGGCCCCCTGTTTAAAAAGTTTGAGGACTCCTGCCTTAATCAATAAAGAAAATTAAAAAAAATAAATAAAAAAGATAGAATGAAAAAAAGTCTGGCACCCTGAATTCTAACTAAACATGATTTTATTTAGCGCTTTTTTTTTCATTTCAAAAAAAGAAAACAAAATGTCAGTTATCCTTTATGCAGAACAAAGATCTCTACCTTATAGCCTCTGTAAGGACACTAGCACTCTGAAATTAAAGCCTTAGTGGGCCTGGTGACTATCTTACCACATATACATTAGGATTGGGAAAGAGAATGAGATCAAAGGTTTGCCTGACTGGTGCTATTACTGTTACAAATCTGTTTCCCCTCAGAGGGTAGGAGGGAACTTCCACCTAATATAATTAGAGACACATGGTAATGTGTTTGTGAAATGAACCAATGAACATCTAAATAAAAAACAAAAAATTTTAATTACAGTTACAAATTTAGTTTCAAGTGTATAGCATAGTGATTAGACATTTATATAACTTAAGAAATGATTCCTCCCCAATAATTTTAGTACCCAACTTACAGCATACATAGTTATTCCAATACTAGAGGCCCAGTGCATGAAATTTGTGCACAGGTAGGGTCCGTAGGCCTGGCCAGCAATCAGGGCTGATCAGGTTCCCCACCTCCTGGCCTCCCCCTTCCCTTGCTCCCCTCAGTACCCCGCCGCCACGGCTGGTTGCCCGCCATGTTCCGAACCACCCCTGGTGGTCTGCGCATGTTATACCAAGTGATCAAACTCCGGGTAGAACTCCCGAGGGGACAATTTGCAACTAGCCTTTTATTATATAGGATTATTGACTGTATTCCCTAGGCTGTATTTTACATCCCCATGTGGTGGTCTTTTCAATATTTGAAGATACTTTTTTTTTTCTGTATAAAACCTACCTTTCCTATAAGATTGCCTTAAACCAGGTGATCTTGTGGGTGACACAGAGGTTGGAGAAATAGAATGAAGGCAGGCAGTTCCTCCACTCTGGGAAAGAACTGTGCTTCAGGAATGAATTTCTATGCAATAAAATTAGTGAGATTCTAGAATCATGGCATTTTCTCTCATTGCATTCTTGGGGATTGCCCTCTTCAGATTCATTTCTCTAGCAGAGGCTGATGAAATGAGCAGCAGAGACTCTAGAAATGAGCTGTAATATGCTATTGCTAAGTCTGTTTTCTATATTCCTATATTTGATGAATAGATAGCTGTGCAAAGTTGTCCCATTGTCTCCAACACCAAGGAGAAGATCATCACAATGCAGAATCAGCTACAGCAGAACATACAAGAAGGACTGCAGATCAAACCAGCATCTTTTCAAGTATCAAGAAAGGGAGTCATTCTACTACATGATAAGTTTTCTACAAATAATGTCGTCGTCATTTTCTGTGGTCATGTGGTCAGTGGCTAGTGGATGAGAAGCATCGGAGTGTCTGAGAGGGTAATCTTCAATTGAGTAAACACATGACTTTAATTAAATTTTGAATTTAATCTCTCATTTCTAAGCCCTGTGCCAACTCAGTACCAAATAGATTATCTGTCAATATTTAGTAACCTTAGAAATTCAAAGACACAATTGATTCTTGATTTCTGCCAAGTCATATCTTGGTTTGTGTTTGATAAAGCCTTCAGATAGAAAGCGATTCTCTGGATCCAGGCCAGGTAGCTCAACTGGTTAGAGCATTGTCCCAATACGCCAAGGTTGCAGTTCCGGGCACATACAAAAAGCAACCAATGAATGAATAAACAAGTGGGGCAAATGGATATTTTTCTCTCTCTAAAATCAATAAATAAAAAATAAAGAAAGCAATTTTTAAAACATCTGTTTCAGAAGAAAATGCTTTTCGGCTCTTCTGTGAAGGAAAAACTCAGAATTGTAGCTAAAGCTAAAGTACTATTGGTACTAACTAAATAATCCCTAATAAAGCAAAGGTTTATCCCAGAAGGCTCTGAACATATCAGAATTTGTGGAACTACTGATGCAAAACAGACACTGGAAGAGTGGTCTCAGTTTTTCCTTTTTCAAAGTTCTCAGTGTGTGACATTTTGCTCTTATTATTCTTCATGCCTTGTCTCTGACTTCTCAAATTTCCAAGGGCTCCAATTCTTGCCTCATTCCTTTCAGTGAGGAACTCCTCCCTAGTACCACTAATTGTGTGAAATGCAAGACTGCAAATATCTAGGCTCCAGACCTTTTCCTGTCACGTGAGAGCAGTGACTTCCTAAGGATTTCTTCACTGTTCCAACTGCCAAAGGACTCTAAATTAGAATATTGCCAGGCTATGCTGGTTAGGATTCTAGTCACACTGAATTTTTTTCTTCTTGGATTTATAGTATCTCGGGGTAGGAAGAGACCTGATTAGGCTAAATTAGGGTATCTAGAGCCAACAGCTGAGAAATGAGAAGGATATGTTTCTTACTTCAACCACTGTAAGTTAATTTCCCTATCCCATCATAGAAAATATAGTCTTAAAGCAACCCAACTTCAAGACACATGATTTTCCTTGCCCAATAAACCATGATTTCATAATTTACCCTACTTTTCCAGATTCCTGAACCCTTCTTGATGCTGGGACATGAACCCCGGCACCAAGGTTGAGGGTTTGATCCCTGGTCAGAGCACATACAAGAATCAACCAAAGAATGTATAAATAAGTGGAACAACAAATTGATGTTTTTCTCTTTCTTCTTTCCTCTCTCTCTCTCTCTCCAATCAATAAATTAAAAATCTGGCCGGTGTTGCTCAGTGGTTGGGCATCAACCTATGGTCACAGTTAGATTCCCAGTCAGGGCACATGCCCAGGTTGCAGGATTGATCCCCAGTGTGGAGTGTGCAGGAGGCAGCCAATCAATGATTCTTACTCATCACTGATGTGTGTGTTTTTTTCATCATTGGTGTTTTTAACTCTCTCTCTCCCTTCCACTCTCTTAAATCAATAAAAAAAATTTAAAAGTAAAGAAAAGGAAAAAAGAAACCATGATATATCTCCTTTTGCTTACTTATATTGTCTTGAACTTCACTGGTCCTGTATCCCAGATAGTGGCTGGCAGTTACTTTGATTCTCATAGAGCACATTGTTTCTCATACTTAATCTCTAATATTTGTGTTTTTTTGTTTTGTTTTGAATGCTCACCTGAGGATATGTGCTTTTACTGATTTCTTTTAGAGGAAGGGAGGGAGAGAGAAAGAGGAACATCCATGTGAGTGAGAAACACTGATTGGTTGCCTCCAGTCAATTAACACAGACTGGAGATTGAACCTGCAACTTTTTGAAGCATGGGCAACACTCCAACCAACTGAGCCACCCGGCAAGGGTTGATGCCTGGCTTTGCAGGGGCAGAAAAATCACCAATTTGAAAAAAAATAGAAGGTTTTTGGGGTTAGGTTTGCTGTCTAATATACTTCTCATTGTCTTGAAAAGGCTCAGGCCATGCCTGGGTAGCTCAGTTAGTTAGAGTGTCACCTTGATATGCCAGGGTTGCAGGTTCAATCCCTGGTCAGGGCACATACAAGAATCAACCACTGAATAAATAAATAAGTGGAACAACAAATTGATGTTTCTCTCTCCCTTCCTTTCTCTAAAACTAATTAAATTAATAAATTTTTTAAAAAAGAAAGGCTCAGGAATAATATATTTATGTAAAAAGTATGTATCCTGCCCAGCCAGTGTGGTTCAGTGGTTGAGCACTGACACATGAACCAAAAGGTCACTGGTCCAGTCCAAGGCACCTGCCCAGGTTTGTGGGCTCAATCCCCAGTAGGGGCATGCAGGAGAGCTAATCTCATCAACGTTTCTTTCTTTCTATCCCTTTCCCTTCCTCTCTAAAATTAAAAATTTTTTTTTAAAAGTATCCTTAAATGGGGATTCTAGGTCATTATTATTAAAGGATCTATATATATAAAAGCCTAAGTGACCAAACAACCAAACGACCAAATGACTGAACCACAGGTCAACCTGTTGCTATGACACACACTGACCATCAGGGGGCAGATGCTCAACGAAGGATTTGCCCCCTGGTGGTCAGTGCACTCCCACAGTCAACCTCCCACAGTCCTCCTCTCCTCCCCCTCACCGGCCAGTCAGCCCCCATTGTTTCTGAACCAGGTGGCTGGCCAACCTCCCGCAGCCCCTCCCCCCAGCTGGCCTCCTGTGGCCCTTACCTCCAGCTGGCCAACCTCCTGTACCCCTGCTGGTCCCGATCGCCAGCCAGGCTTAGCGACCCTACCCGTGCACAAATTCATGCACCTGGCCTCTAGTTTTTAAACAAGATCTTAAAAGTTCAGATCCTGGTAGATACCATAATGATCATAAATATTTATGTAATTTTATAAAAAAAAGTCTTTGACCCAGCCAGTACTCTTAAGAATTTATCCTAGGCATGTGGAGCAAGTGATTTCCTCACAAAGCTGTATAAAATGAGAAACAGTCTAAATGCCCCACACGTTAAAAGTAAATACATCACAGTACATACAATACATATGCACTCATACAGAGTGGGGCAAAAATAGGTTTACAGATGTTTGTATAGAAAATAATAGAATAATTAATAAATAACAAAAGAATAAACTGTTTCCTATACTCAAAACTGTAAACCTACTTTTGTCCCACCCAGATATACACATTAAGGAAATGGAAAAAGGAGACAAGGAAAAGGAGATGGGGAGAGGAGGCATTTTCATAACTTCTCAACATAAGTCTTAGTATGCTGGAAGCAACAAGGTAGCAGCCTTGCGAGTGGTGGCAAAATATCTGTACACTTTTTTTTTTTTAAATATATTTTATTGATTTTTCACAGAGAGGAAGGGAGAGAGATAGAAAGTTAGAAACATCGATGAGAGAGAAACATCGATCAGCTGCCTCCTGCACATCTCCCACTGGGGATGTGCCCGCAACCCAGGTACATGCCCTTGACCGGAATCGAACCTGGGACCTTTCAGTCCGCAGGCCGACGCTCTATCCACTGAGCCAAACTGGTTTCGGCTGTACACTTTTTAATAAAAAGGATATTTCCTTAATTATCTCTTCAGACAGATCACTGACAGCTATCTCACTTTCCCTGTTATTCAGATTTACAGCAGTCCCTCCTTATCCACAGGGGAATGTTCCAAGGCCCCCTGTGGATGCCTGACACAGTGGAGAGTACCAAACCCTACATATACTCTTTTGACCTATACATACATACCTTATAAATTTGGGACAGTAAAATATGAATAATAACTAATAATAAAATAGAAAAATTATAACTATCTACTGTAATAAAAATGTGAATGTGGTCTCTCTCTCACTCCTTAAATTTCACTGGATTTAAACATCATCAGAGATTTAAATCTCATATCTGAAATTTTCCATTATCTGATGATAACTAAAATCAAGAAAAGAAAAACCATGGGAAGGAAGGACTACGTATTTTAAAAATTTAAGTTCCTTTGCCCTAGCTGGTTTGGCTCAGTGGGTAGAGTGTTAGCCTGCAGACTGAAGGGTCCTGGGTTTGATTCTGGTCAAGGGCACATGCCTGGGTTGTGGGCTCAATCCCCAGCAGGGGGCATGCAGGAGGCAGTTGATCACCTATATCATTGAATCCATGCTGCCTGGCATTCACTATCTACACTAATAAAAGACAAAGATGCTAATTGACCGTACCTTCACTACGCCCATCAACCAACCAGAAGAGTATGCAAATTAACTCAACAAAGATGGCTGTTAAATCTGTATACTGCAGGCAGGGCGGGACAGCGCCATCCGCCGCCTGCCCCGCTGCCATCCAGGCCTGCTATCTGTGACCTGACCTGGGGTGGCGGGGCAGGACAGTAGCGATCCGCCAGCCCGCCTGGCCGCCATCCGGGCGTCCCGTGTGTGACCCGACCCAGAGCGAAGACTGAAGACAGTGTAGAAGGAGGCCAAGGGCTGCAGAAGGGAGCAAAATGGCAGAGGAGGGACTGGAGACGAGAGCAGAGCTGAGGCAGCGGACACGGAAGGGAATGAGGTAGCAGAGATGGGAAGGAGCGAAGTGATGGAGAAGGGAGGGAGCGAGGCAGGGGAGAAGGGAGGGAAGCACGCTGCAGAAGCCCTATTCTTGCAGGAATCTTCCTGCAACGGGCCTCTAGTATTATGTACAATGTAATCAAAGGTATATTACCTATAGAATGTTAAATTGGGCAACTTACCACAATCGGTCATTTCAAAATCATTTACTTTTTTATTATAAGTCACAATTTCTCTTGGAATACTTTTCAACAGTACACTTCTATAGACCTATAAGTCAGAGGGGGAAAAAAGGTCTGTTAAGTCACAAAAAGGCACAGATTAAGCCAAACCAAAATAAGAATAACAAAATATCAAGCCAATTAAAAAGTATTTGTCGCCCTAACCAGTTTGGCTCAGTGGATAGAGCGTCAGCCTGAGGACTCAAGGGTCCCAGGTTCGATTCCAGTCAAGGGCATGTACCTTGGTTGCGGGCACATCCCCAGTGGGGAGTGTGCAGGAGGCAGCTAATCAATGTTTCTCTCTCATCGATGTTTCTAACTCTCTATCCCTCTCCCTTCCTCTCTGTAAAAAATCAATAAAAAAAAAAAAGTATTTGTCTGTAAGGGTGATCATCAATCAAGAGGAAGATGTTATTAGTCTGATAAATGCAGGTTATAACAAACATCTTAGAAGAGGGAATACTGAAGCAAATTCTGAGCCTACATCTAAAATATGCCCTTGTAGGAGTTTACAATGCAAACAGAAGAGTTAGGTACAAAAAAGCAACTAAACACTGATGAGCAGGTTTTGCCAAATAAAATAACTTCAAAAATATGAACTTGTTCTTCCTCCTTTTTAACTCCTTACCTGAGAACCAATTTACTCTCATTGGGGCTTGTTTTCCTGCTCTCATCCCATTCCCATCTCCTTTCAGATGGACACATGAAAATTTGTTCCGTTCCTGCCCCGAAACTCTTTCCTACCTCCAAGATAGCCAATAGGCATGAACCATTTCTCCCTCATCCGATGGGGACTAGTATTTATTTGTTTGTTTGTTTATTTATTTATTTATTTATTTATTTACTTTTTATTTACTTTTAACAGAGAGGAAGGGAGAGGGACAGAGAGTTAGAAACATCCATGAGAGAGAAACATCCATCAGCTGCTTCCTGCAACCTCCCCACCCCGGGGAAGTGGCCGCAACCAAGGTACATGCCCCTGACCGGAATCGAACCTGGGACTCTTCAGTCCACAGGCCGACACTCTAGCCACTGAACCAAACAGTCAGGGTGGGGACTAGTATTTAAAAGACATTTAGGGAACTCTGGCTTTGCTCATTTTGACACACAGTAAGTTTATCTTAATGATCTTTAAAGACAATCTGGACCTCTTTTGGCTCTGTTCCTAAGGGGTTTTTCTGAAGAGGCCCAGAAATGCTTGGCCTGTCATAGTATATAACAAACACTTGTACTTGGCTCTTCAAATATTTGTAAATCACTCACTATTTGGGGGCTTAAGTAAAGAAGTGAAACTACTGGTGGGGCTCTCCTAGAAGGGAATATCACTACTAGTACTCCCACCTGAGATATCTGGGCCACCACCTTTCTTTCTCAGATAGCAGATCATGGGGGCCAGAGAAGAGGCCATTAGGCTCTCTTAGAGCAGAACAACCAAGCTCTTGAATGGTTTTAAAGTAAACCAACCCTGTTTTCTCAGCTATAATAACAATAATAATATGGATCTAACAGTCATTAAAGCTTACTATGTGCCAGACCACTACGCTAACATTTTATATTTCCACTAGAGGCCTGGTGCACGAAATTCATGCACTGGGTGTGTGTGTGTGTGTGTGTGTGTGTGTGTGTGTGTGTGTGTGTGTCTCCCCCAGCCTGGCCTGTGCCCTCTCACAGTGTGGGAGCCTCACAATCGATCGCCCCAAAAAAGGAGGCCCAACCCACACATCTGGGGCCCCTCAATGGATTGCTCCAAAAAGGTAGGCCAGAGCTGCGGGACCCGTCTCCACGTCATGCACGCAGCGTCAAGCCCCTGTCCACCCGCAAATGCGCCCACTGTGCATGCAGCCTCCTGGTGATCGCTCGTTACGGCATGAGGGTGTCATGACCACATAGGCTTTTATTAATAGGATGACTGAAAAGTTGTACAGAATTCTCACCCATGGTTATAACATTATCAGAGATGCTTAACATCTCTTCAAAGATACAAACATTAAGATTCTTAGAAGATGAATTTAAGTTAATAAATTCTCAAATTTCACTGGATTTAAACATCATCAGAGATTCAAATCTCATACAATTAAAGAATATATATATTTTTTTCATTAAATATTCTAGTGAAAAATGTCCCCACTTAACAGATTAACAAATGGAATAAGAAAGCATGTGAGAAGTATATGCAAATATATTCATGAGTCAGGAACAGCTAATTTCTCAGCTTCTACAAAACTGTCTCTTGAATATAATGATTTCTATTAAACCAACAAATCTAAAATACAGTAAAACTATAAAAGAAGCTTACCTTTTCTATGACTTTTCATCAGAAAAATAGTACAAGTCTATTTTTGGACAAGAAGAAAAATAATGTAACTCACGTGACTATTAGCTTGGGGCTGATTCCTATAACTTTTCATGATTTCTTGAAAAGTTCTTTCTTCTTTTGTTACCTAAAGAAAAGAAAAACTGCATTTATCAACTGTTCCTAAAAGAAAAATGGCCCTGAACAAACACTTCAATTATAGACTGGGATTGAGAGCAGTCTTGCAGAAAGCCATTAACCCTAGGCCAGTCCATAACTAAAAACCACTACCATATATAATTTTTACTACCTTTAAAGTTCAGCCTTTGTGGCCTGTGGGGACTCAGCTAATAGTTTCATTAATCAAAAGCACCAAGACTGCTATGGTATAACTTTACTGAAAATAGCCTTTCTTTGTAAAAAGAATGATATAAGGAAACCCAGATCTGTTGAATCCCTTACACTCTCCAGTTTTATTAGTTTTTAAGTATTTAAAAGTAAATTAACTACATACTAAATGATAGAAAATGCTTGTGTTGACACACAATAAAAATGAATGGTTATCATAGAATTAGGCTTTTAATATGTCAGGACAGACTGTATAGTTTCTAATGCTTACACTGAAAAGACAAATGGTGGCTAAAAGGTAGAAAATGGATTAGTGATCCATAAAGGAATACCTTCTAGTCTATTTGTTATCAATAAAGTTCACTTAAATTACTCTTTTTCTCTGCTTTACTGTGCATTAGCACTTAACCCATTCTCCATAATGTTGAGCTAGAAATGGCAAAGCTTGAACTCTGGTAGTTCTCTGAAAAACACAAATGATCCTATATAATAAGAGAAGCATGCAAATTAACCATCCCTCTGCTACGCTCAAGCCACACCCACAAGCCCATCAGGAGCGAGTATGCAAATTAACCCAACTAAGATGGAGGCGGCCACAGAGCTGGAGCGAGCAGGAGGCTTGGGTTGCCCCTGGCGATAGAGGAAGCCAAGCTTCCTGCATGCCCTGGCCGGTCCTGGGCTCCAATCAAAGTTACAAAGTTTCAATTATAGAATATAAATCCCAGAAAAAAAGAAAAAAAGGAGAGGCTGGGAGCTTGGGTCGCTGGGGAGCGTGCTCAGCCTGAGAACAGCCATCAGCCCCTCACCCAGGCACCCCAGCGGGACTCCCCCACCCTGAAGGGGCTATGGGCAGCCTGAAAATGGCCCTCAGCCCCTCACTCAGGCTGGCCACACCCCCATGGGATGAAGGTCCCCGCTGGGGGGCTTGGCCAGCCTGCAAACAGCCATCAGCCCCTTACCCAGGCTGGCCAGGCACCCAAGTGGGACCCCCACCCTGATCTGGGACACACTTCAGGGTAAACCAGCTGGCCCCCACCTGTGCACCAGGCCTCTATCCTATATAATAAAAGGGTAATATGCAAATTGACCCTAATAGCAGAACAACTGGGAATGATGGGTCACTATGACAAACATTGACCACCAGGGGGCAGATGCTCAATGCAGGAGCTGCCCCTTGGTGGTCAGTGCACTCCCACAGGGGGAGCTCTGCTCAGCCACAAACCCGGCTGCCGGCTGCCAGCACAGTGGTGGTGGCAGGAGCCTCTCCTGCCTCCTCAGCAGCACTAAGGATGTCCGACTGCAGCTTAGGCCTGCTCCCCGCTGGCAAGTGGACATTCCCCGAGGGCTCCCAAGCTGCCAGAGGGATGTCTGACTGCCAGCTTAGGCCCGATCCCCCCCAGGGAGCGGGCCTAAGCCAGCAGGTGGACATCCCCTGAGGGGTCCAGGCTGGGCTGAGGGACACCCCCCCCCCCCCGAGTGCACAAATTTTTGTGCACTGGGCCTCTAGTTAGTTAATAACATTTATTAATATCTACTTTGTGAGGCATTGTGAAACAGGTGCCACTAAGGAATTTGAAAACATGTCCTCTGCCTCAAAAAGCTTAAAAATGAGGTCTTAACTATGTACGTGTGTTAGGATGGCCAGCGTGGCCAATATAGTCAAGACCAAAGTTACAGATGACTGTTTCAGATACATCAGAAATTTAAAAAGCAAGATATGTGATTTCATAACCTAAAACATGATGTAGCAATTAGAGAGTAAATGTTCTTCACATTAAGTGGCACAGTAAATCACTGGAAAGAAATGTTACAGAAGCTATTTTACACTAAATTATGAATCAGGAGATCCTAGGTTGCTATATATTATGTAACTTTGCTCAGCTCTGGGCCTCAGTTATTCGCCTACAATGTAATGATCATGTTACCTTAAAGTAACCAGATTAGAGGTATCACAGGGATGGGCGTGAAAATGGTGTTACCACATTAATAATAGGGAGAGCTACTTTACTACAAATAGTCTCTAAGACCTTTCCCAACTTCTTTACAACCAATATATACTTATGAAGTGGGAAGGCTGATTATTATAAAACTAAATGGAGAATCCAGAGAATAGATATAGTAGCTGGAATTTACTACTTAATCAATGATGATGGCCACTGTTAGCTTATAGCACTTAAGGTAAACCAAGAATCAAGTTCAACAGTGTTTCACCTCATGCAACTAGGGCCAAGAACTCCCCCCAACGTATACATTACCTTTGCCATGATGTAAAAGGCACAAAGGAGGAGCTGATCCAAATGTCTGTCTTTCATTAGGTCAGGGCAGTGAACTAAAGTAAATTCAAAACACGTCCATATCTTCCTTCGTAACTCATTTGAAACATCCAGTTTTAAACATAAATCACGTAAGCGTACACTTGCCAAATGATAAACCTGAGATGGAAGGTAGCACATTGATGCAAAAAAAAAAAACCAAGTAAAAATTTCTTAAATTTATGCCTTACCATGAACATGGGCTTTCATGTCAAGACTAACAAGCACCTAGGCCAGGGGTGGGCAAACTTTTTGACTCAAGGGCCACAATGGGTTCTTAAACTGGACCGGAGGGCCGGAACAAAAGCATGGATGGAGTGTTTGTGTGAACTAATACATGTTAACACTGCTGCTGGTGAAGGAGCGGAGGGGAGAGCAAGAGAACCCTCCGCTCTTTTGGCTCCGTGGGCCGGATAGGACAGCCGAACGGGCCGATCCGGCCCGCGGGCCGTAGTTTGCCCATGGCTGACCTAGGCAGTTGATACCTTAAATTATATAAAATTTCTGTTCTATAGTACTAGTTCACTGCTATGGCAGAAGGATATAAATTAAAACAAAATCCTCTTTAAGAAACTACCTTTAAAATTATTATTATAAGATGGCAACCACCCTACTTTATTTTTTATTTAAACAATGTTAAAAATTTTTTATTGATTTTTAAAGAAAGGATGGGAGAGGGAGGTAGGGAGGGAGGGAAGGAGGGAGGGAGAGAGAGAAACATCGATGTGAGAATGAAACATCTACCAGCTGCCTTGTGCATGCCCCCACCAGGGATTAGGCCCGTAACCCAGCCATGTGCCCTGAGCAGCAATTGAACTGGCAACATTTTGGTGCACTGGGCAATGCCCAACCAACTGAGCCACATCAACCAGGGCACCTTAACAATTATTTTTAAAAGATGTCTTCCACCGCTTTATGCTGCCATCTATATCAAGTAAGAAACACTACAATGCAGAATTTACCTGCATTACAAGCATTATGAATACATAATTTTTCAAGTGTTCAGAAGTCTATTTTTTTTTGTTTCAGGTAAAATTGCTAGAAAACCTAAAATGTCAGAAAGTAAAGAACTAAAATCAATGTTTGACTTGAAAAATGAGTCAGAAAGTAAAACCATTTAAAGAATTTCCCATATAGTCTACATTGTTTTTATGAACACATGAAAGGAATGTTAAATGAGAAACCTTTTTTCTTTTTGTTATTTTTAAGTATGTCAGAGTAAATTCAGTGCAATGCTCTGAACCTTTTATTTTTACATATATATATATATATATATATATATATATATACACACACACACACACACACACATACTGTATATATACACACACATATACAGTCATTATATGAATTGACACTAATGCAAATGACCAGAAGATATTGCAAGATTCTAAAATGGTTTCTAATAATCTTAGAAGCATTATGTTTTATTGTTTTAAGGATTGGTAACCCTGCTGTGGTATTCCTAAACAAGACTATGCCCAAGTCTTTAAATTTAAATGTTCATGAAAAAGAGTAAGGCATCACTTACAGAAAAGTATCTTTGGCAGGGGGTAAAATCCACAAATCAGAACTTAAAAACAAATGTAAGTTATCCAATATACTACTCTAATAGAGAGACAAGTGGGTGACTCCAAAGCTACTTGTGATTCATTGCATAGGAACTCATTTTCTGCATCCCATTTCTTTGTTCCTAGAACTACTGGGGTCAGAGCAGTGAGAAAGATGCTAGAACTTTACATTCATGATAGATCAGATATAGTCCTGGCTAGGATTAAAAATCTACACTAATAAAAGACAAACATGCAAATTGACTGTACCTTTGCTATGCCTTAAGCCACACCCACCAGCCAATCAGAGCAACTACATGCAAATTAACCCAACCAAGATGGCGGCCAGCAGCCACGGAGCTGGAGCAAGCAGGAGGCTTGGTTTCCCCAATGACTAAGGAAGCCAAGCTTCCTGCCGGCTCTGAGCTCCACTCAAAGCAACAAAGTTTCAATTATAGAAGATAAATAAACCCCAGATACCTGCTTTCAGATGGCTATGGCCACGGAGCTGGAGCGAGCAGGAGGCTTCCCTCCCGCCCACCCTGGCTGGCTCTGAGCCCTCTCAAGGTTACAAAGTTTCAATTACAGAAGGTAAATAAATCCCAGAATAAAAAAGAAAAAAGAAAAAAAGGAGAGGCTGGGAGCTTCCTTTGCCAGGGGGCTTGGCCAGCCTGAAAATGGCCCTCAGCCCTTCACCCAGACTGGCCAGGCATCCCAGTGGGGATCCCCCACCCTAACGGGGTGTAGCCAGCCTGAGAACAGCCCTCAGCCCCTCACCCAGGCTGGCCAGCCAGGCACCCCAGTGGGGACCCCCACCCTGAAGGGGGTGTGACCAGCTGCAAACAGCCATCAACCCCTCACCCAGGCTGGCCAGGCACCCCAGCAGGACCCCCACCCTGATCTGGGACACACTTCAGGGCAAACCAGCCGGCCCCCACCTGTGCACCAGGCCTCTATGCTATAATAAAAGGGTAATATGCAAACTGACCTTAACAGCAGAAAGAATGGGAATGACTGGTCACAATGACACACACTGACCACCAGAGGGCAGATGCTCAATGCAGGAGCTGCCCCCTGGTGGTCAGTGCACTCCCACAGGGGGAGCTCTGCTCAGCCACAAGCCAGGCTGATGGCTGGCAGTACAGTGGTGGTGGTGGAAGCCTCTCCCGCCTCCTCAGCAGCACTAAGGATGTCCGACTGCAGCTTAGACCTGCTCCCTGCTGGCAAGTGGACATCCCCCGAGGGCTGCCGGGCTGCCAGAGGGATGTCTGACTGCCAGCTTGGGCCCGATGCCCCAGAGAGCGGGCCTAAGACAGCAGGTGGACATCCTCCGAGGGGTCCCAGACTGCAAGAGGACATAGGCTGGGCTGAGGGACCCCCGCCCCCGGGTGCATACATTTTTGTGCATCAGGCCTCTAGTCTATATATATAAAAGGCTAATATGCTAAATGTCTGATCATGACCGGTCGCTATGACGTGCACTGACCACCAGGGGGCAGATGCTCAATGCAGAAGCTGCCATGACATGCACTGGCCATTTACAGAGAAACGGCACTGTGGACCTGGCGTCCACAAAGCAACACTCGGCTTCCCCCAAGTGGGACACAGGCCCCACCACCATCCCAGAGTGACAGCCCACCAAATTGCAGCCAATGCTGCCGAGACCCCATGGCGCAAAATGCGGCCCACAGCCCAGCCCAGCCCAGTCCAGAAAAGTGGCTGTGGGCACCAGATAATGACGTCATGTAACAATGCCAGGCTTCTTCTACCTAGCGACTAGCCTCCTTGGAGTTTCTTCAGCCCAGGAACTCGACTTGCTATACAGCCAGGGGCAAACACTTTACACTTTAACCAAATGTCTGTGAAGCGTTTTCCTGTGCCTCATCTCATTTGATCCTCACAGAAGTCCTGGAGTAGCTAGACAGGAGACTAGATGGAATCCTATTTTCTTTTCATTAGCTGGAAAACGGAGATTTAAAAAGCTTAGAATCTTGACCTGACTGAAAAGTAAGAAATGGTGGACCTTGAAAATGACTTCAGGTTTTCTCACTGTGCAGAATTTAGTCAAGCACTGCTGCAGTTATATATTTTACCCTTTGTTCTCCCTGTGTGATCTATAATAATAATCTGCTTTGTGTTGACATTTACTGCTGTGTTGCTGATAATTACCTGAAAGAGAAGTTGGGGTGCTTCACTGGGCTGGAAAAAGTTTAGCTAAATCAGAAAGCAGGTCTAATTAAGCAAGTTTATCTATATATATAAAGCTCTTGCTGGTGCCAATTGCACGTGTGTGTTTTGATCTGTCATTGCCGATAGTGAATTTGGTTGACACTTGTATTATAGAGAAGGCAAATAGCGATATTAAAATGTTTCTTCTAATTAATTTCCTTTCAATGTGCACAAATTTGTGCACTGGGCCAATAGTAATATATAATTAAGTAATACTTCTTATGTCTTTTATAGAGCTCATTCAATGCCTTAAAGATATGCACATTCTGGGAGGCTTCTGATGCTAACACAAAATTCACAGTAAATCCTAGTTAGGCATAAAACACCAGCATCACACCGAGTTCAGCATGTTTAGTAGTTGCAATTTATTCAAGAAATGGTTATTTTAAATTAATTATAGATATGGATATCCTATTCCCTTTAGGATAAAATTTTTCTAGCTTCTAATCTGTATTAAGTAAACTATAATTAAATGGAAAAAAAGGACAGGCTAGATTCTGAAATAAATTATGAATTAAAAATTCAGAAATAAAGGCTTACTTTTCTTAATTTTAGATTCATTATCAATGGCGATAACTTGCCATTTTGAAAATTAAAAATAGGAAAGGAAGCCCTGGTCAGGTAGTTTAGTTGGTTAGAGTTGTCCTGATATACCAAGGTTGAGGGTTCGATCCCCAGTCAGGGCATATACAAGAAGCAACCAATGAATGCATAAATAAGTGGAACAACAAATTAATGTTTCTCTCTCTCTCTCTCCCTTCCTTTCTTTCTTAAAAAAAAAAATCAGTAAGTATAGGGAATGAATAGGGAAAAGGCTTCACTTGAAATTGTTTTTAAAACAGGCCTTAGGCATAAGAGGTGGGCGGTAGTGGGTAGACTAGAGAAGGCAGTGGGAGGTAGAAAAAAGGGCAAGTCTCTCAAGAAAGATCATAAAAAAGACTAGAAGAAGTAAACTTAGAGTTGCATCAAAAGATAATTTGGAAAAATCATGAATTTCTTAAAATTGTAAAGTCTTATACCCTAATCACAATGTAAGAAGAAAACAAAAAACATTGCCTTCTTTTTCTTTACAATTCTTAAGAATGGGCTAGCCAGGCATTTAATTGTGGATTGAAGAATTATCTTCCATTTCTGGAATTTTTTATTTTTTTAAGTAGAGTCATATTTGCTTACAAATATCTGATATACATGTAAATAAAGTAATTTAAGCTTATCCATATGATCTAAGATGTAACTTCCCACAATAAACTCCCATCTAAAACAATATAACACAATGGAATTCGAGTAAATTACAGAGGACGATCAATTGCTTATGTTATATAAGAAGTTATATAAGAACATAAGCTGACAGAAAACATAAGTTTATCAGGAAAGTAAATCAAACCAAATGAATATGAGTCTAAACACAACTCACCAAGATCATAATGTTCTCTTAAGAGGTCAAATATGTTGTTGTTGTTGTTGTTTTTAATCCTCACCTGAGGATATTTTCCCATTGATTTTTAGAGAGAGTGGAAGAGAGAGGAAAAGAGAGGAAGAGAGAGAAATATCAACGAGAGAAACACATCGATTGATTGCCTCTTGCATGTGCCCTGACCAGGGCCCAGGCTGGGAGGAGCCTGCAACCAAGGTATGTGCCCTTTTCTGAAATCACATCCCGGACCCTTTGTTCCACAGGCCGACACTCTATCCACTAAGCCAAACTGGCTAGGGCTCAAATATGTTTTTTAAAAAGACTAAAAGTACATTACCTGATACTAATGTTACACAAAGACACTATAAGAAAACTACAGACCAATATCTCTTCGATTAGTAACGTGAAAATCCTTAAAAAAATACTGGCAAACTGAATGTAACAGCATACACTAAAAGGATCTTATGCTATGACCATGTAGGATTTATTCCTTGAATATAAGGATAGTTTAATACATGAAAATCAGTATAATATATTATATTATTAGAATGAAGAAAATATGATCATCTCAATGCAGAAAAAGCATTTGACAACATTTAACACCCTTATGTTATAAAAACACTCAACAAACAAGGAATAGAAGAAAACATAATAAATGCCATATATGAAAAATCTATAGCTAATATACTCAAAGTGAAACAATGAAAGCTTTTCCTCTAAGAAACAAGACAAGGATACCCTACTTCAGCACTTCTATTCAACAAGTATGGAAGTTCTAGTCAGAGCAATTAGGCAAGAAAAAGAAATAAAAGGCATCCAAATTGGAAAAGAAGTGAAGTCACCTCCATTTGCAGATTACATGACTTTATGTGTAGAAAATGGAAAAACCTTAAAAAAGTCCATAAAAAAATTATTAGGAAAAATATATTCAGCTCCAGCTGGTTTGGTTCAGTGGATAGAGCATTAGCCTGTGGACTAAAGGGTCCTGTGTTCAATGCCAGTCAAGGGCACATGCCCGGGCTGTGGGCTTGAACTCCAGTAGGGGGCGTGCATGAGGGAGCCAATCAATGATTCTCTCTCATCACTGATGTTTCTATCTCCCTCTCCCTCTCCCTTCCTCTCTGAAATCAATAAAAATATATTAAAAATAAATAAATAAATCAACAAAATTGCATGATATAAAATCAATACACGAAATTACTTTTATTCCTACATCACTAGCAATGAACAACCCAAAAAATGGAATTAAGAAAATGATTCTATTTATAATAGCACAAAAAAGAAAATAATAAACTTAACCAAGTGGGCAAAAGCTTATACACTGAAAACTACAAAACATTACTAAAAGATAGAAAAGATACATAAATAAATGGAAAAACATCCCATATTCATGGATGGAAGACTTAACGTTGTTAAGATGTTAACACTACTCAAAGCAATCTACAGATTCAATGCAACCCCTATAAAAACCTCAATGATGTTTTTTGCAATAATAGAAAAATCAATCCTAAAATTCATGGAATCTCAAGTTACTGAAAAGCCAAATAATCTTGAAAAAAAAAGAAAAAAAGAAAGAACAAAGTTGGAGGGCTCACATTTCCTAATTTTAAAACTTTCCTGATGTCAAATAATCGTGAAAAAGAAAAACAAAGTTGGAGGTCTCACATTTCCTGATTTCAAAATTTTCCTGATTTCAAATAATCTTGAAAAAGAAAAAAACTGGAGGTCTCACATTTCCTGATTTCAAAAATTACTATGAAGTTACAGTAATTAAATGTATGGTACTGGCATAAAACAGACATAAAGAGGTCAATAAACAGAATAGCCCTGAAATATATTTGAATGAGCACCGACAAGGGTGCAAGATCATTCAATGGGGGAAAGAACAGTCTTTTCAACAAATGGTGTTGAGAAAACTGGATAACCACATGCAAAAGAATGAAAAGGAATCCTTACCTTACACCGTATACAAAATTAGCTTAAAATGGATCAAATACCTAAATATAATTGCTAAAACTATAAAACTGCTAGGAGAAAATAGGGAGAAAACTTCATGATTTTGAAATGGGCAATAATTTCTTAAATATGGCACCAAAAACAGAAGACAACAAAACAGATAAATTGGACTTCATCAAAATAAAAAACTTTTGTGCATCCAAGGACCTGACCAACATGTGAAAAGGCAACCTACAGTATGGGAAAACATATTTGCAAATCATATATTCAATGGGGGATTATTATTCAGAATATACAAAGAACTTCTGTAAGTCAACAACAAAAATCTCAAATGAAAAATTGGCAAAAGGGCCTTAGCTGGTTTGGCTCAGTGGATAGAGCATTGGGACTGAAGGGTCCTGGGTTGATTAGGGTCACGGGCATGTACCTGGGTTGCAGGCTCGATCCCTGGCCCTGGTTGGGTGTGTGTGCAGGATGCAACCAATCGATTGATGTGTCTCTCTCATATCAGTATTTTTCTCTCTCTGTCTCTCCCTCTCCTTTCCACTCTCTAAAAAACAATGGAAAAATATCCTTGCTTGAGGATTAACAAAAAAACAAAAAAAGGGGAGGGGGAATGGCAAAGGACTTGAATAGACATTTGTCTAAAAAATGATATACAGAGACAATAGGACATGAAAAGATTCTCAACACCACTAATCACTAGGGAAACACAAATAAAAACTACTGTAATTCATACTCATTAGAATCGCTATTAAAAACCCTGAAAATAAGTGTTGGCAAGAATGTGGGGAACTTGGAATCCTTGTGTAATGTGGCAGGAATATAAAATGGCACAGTCACTGTGGAAAATAATATGGCATTTCTTTCTTTTTTTTTTAAATATATTTTATTGATTTTTTACAGAGAAGAAGGGAGAGGGAAAGGAGAGGGATAGAGAGTTAGAAACATCGATGAGAGAGAAACATCGATCAGCTGCCTCCTGCACACCCCCCACTGGGGATGTGCCTGCAACCAAGGTATACGCCCTTGACCGGAATCGAATCTGGGACCCTTGAGTCCGCAGGCCGACGCTCTATCCACTGAGGCAAACCGGTTAGGGCGGCATTTCTTTAAAATATTAAATTTAGAATTATTATTCCACTCTTAGGTATATATCCAGAAGAACTGAAAGCAGAGATTTAAATAGGTATTTGTACACCAATGTTCCCAGAAGTGTTATTCACAATATCGAAAAGGTAGAAACAACCCAAATGTCAAGCATATATGAATGCATAAATAAAATATTATACTGTGTATGTATATATATAAAATGGAATATTATTTAGTCTTAAAAAGGCAGGGAATTATGACACATGTACAACATTAATGAACCTTGAAGACATTATGCTAAGTGAAATGAGCCTGTCACAAAAGGACATATTGTATGATTCCACTTATATGAGGTACCCAGAGTAGCCAAATTCACAAAGACAGAAAGTAGAATGGTGGTTACCATGGTCTGGGGAGGCGGGGAGTGGGGCAGGGAGAGAAAGAGGAATGGGGAATTACTGTTTAATGGATACAGAATTTCAGGTCAGGAAGATAAAAATATCCTGGAGATGGATGGTGGTGAAAGTGGCACAGCAATGTAAATGTACTTTTAATGACACAAAAATAGTTAATCATAAATTTCATGTTTATATATATATATATTACCACACACACAAAAAAGCTAAAGCTGCCGTGTTATTCAATCTTTCTTGCATTGATTAAACAAGATCTTTTTACTTATTTATTTTTAAATATAGTTTTTTAAAAAAATATTTTATTGATTTTTTACAGAGAGGAAGGGAGAGGGATAGAGAGTTAGAAACATCAATGAGAGAGAAACATCGATCAGCTGCCTCCTGCACACTCCCTACTGGGGATGTGCCTGCAACCAATGTACATGCCCTTGACTGGAATCGAACCTGGGACCCTTCAGTCCGCAGGCCAATGCTCTATCCACTGAGCCAAACCGGTCAGGGCTTAAATATAGTTTTATTGATTTGAGAGAGGAAGGGAAATGGAGAGATAGAAACATCAATGATGAGAGAGACTCCTTGATCAGCTGCCTCCTTCACACCCACTACTGGAGATCAAGCCCGCAACCAGGACATGTGTCCTTGACCAGAATTGAACCCGGTATCCTTCAGTCCACAGGCTGACACCCTATCCACTGAGCCAAACTGGCTAGGGCTATTTTTATTTTTAAAAAAAATATATATTTTTTATTGATTTCAGAGAGGAAGGGGGGGGGGAGAGAGAGAGAGAGAGAGAGAGAGAGAGAGAGAGAGAGAGAGAGAGAGAAACATCAATGATGAGAGAGAATCATTGATTGGCTGCCTCCTGCCTGCTCCACCAGAGATCAAGCCCACAACCCAGGCATATACCCTGACTGGGAATTGAACTGTGACCTCCTGGTTCATAGGTTGATGCTCAACCACAGAGCCATGTCGGTAGGGCTAAATGAAATCTTCTTAGATGCTATGAAAACACATACCTTTCTATAAAACAGTGCTAAGGACCCCGTTCTCTTTGGTCTGCTTATTCCAGTTGGATGTACCTCTTGTGCTTTAGTCAGATGGGTTTGTTTTGGAGAAGCACCAATTAATGACTGAGCAGTAAGTGATACAGGACTCTCAACTTTGGACTCCTGAGTTGTGTTCACGGAAATTGGTATCAGTGTGATCTCTCCAGCATCATTTGCAATACCTAAGTGTACAATACAAGCAAGAGTTCTTTTTTTAGCAAAAGCTGCATGTATTCCAGAAAGGTTGTCATTATGTCTACCCATTTATGTGTAAACATATAAATATGTTAGGGGAAAAAAAAAGAGAAAAGCTACAAAATAGTAATTCTAGTCTATAACATTATTTTCTATTTCTGCTCTGTTTTGTTTTGAGCTCTTAAAGAGACTTGTTAATTAAAAAAAAAATTCTTGCTCAATATACTCATGTGTAAAGCTAAGAAAATAAGTCCTAACAAGAAGAGTAGTAAATTTATAAAATTTGAAAATTAAAAAAAAAAAAGGGTACAGGTTCAAAACAAAAGGTGGAGCACAAGATTTTTAGGGCAGTGAAATTATTCTTTATAATACTATTATGTTTGATATGTCTCATTAGATATTTGTCAAAATCTATAGAATATATAATATCAAGTAAACCCTAATATAAACTTTGGACTTTGGATGATGATAATGTATCAGTGTAGGTTCATCAATTGTAACAAATGTACTATTATGGTGCAGGAATGTTATGGAAAGGGAGTCTGTGTGTAGGGGAGGGGGAAGAGGGTACATGGGAAATCTCTGTACCTTCCACTCAATTTTGCTATAAACCTAAAACTGCTCTAAAAAATCAAAATAAAAAAAGTAGTCTTTAGGTTCAAGAAAAAATACTGTGTTAGCAAGGCTATGTGATCCAATACAGTAAAGACATTTCTTAAATTTTATCCAACTTAGAAAAAATATAAAATAAATTCATTGAAATGTTACCATGCAATGGGATTGTAACTTTATGTCCTGTTGTCCCCGTTACTATGGCTGTGGCCATTGTTAAAAGACTTTGCCCAGGTGAAATTGATATATTTTCAGCAGTAATGCTTGAAGAAGGAGCAATTTTCAATTTTCTTCCTTCTGTTATGATCCTGTCCATAAGCATTTCCTTTGGGGGGTCCTCCCCAAAAAGTCTTCTCTTAGCACTCCCTGCGGTAGGAGAACTGTAGCGTTCATGGACAGAAATTGGAGACAATGGTTGCATATCTAGTAAAAAGAAAAATAAATTTAAAATAGTTTGATATGTATTCTAAAATAATGAACCAGGTTCATTATGCAGTCATCAAGATGAAGTGGTGGTACACGCTGTAACATAGATATATCTTGATATCTGTCCTCATATCAAGTCAAGTGTTAGAGAGAGGCCTGAAATAAATTCTTACAATAAAATGTGAAAATGATAGCTCACCCTCTGGTTTCTTGAACCTCGCCTACATTAAAGGAGCAAAATGTTAAGGGTAAAGTAGAAGCTGAGAGGGAGAATGAGGTGACCCCTAAATTTAAGTAGTAGTCAATTAGCTTCTGTCTCCCGATCTTATCTAGTAAATAACACTTAAGGAAAAATCAGTTATTTGGTTCACAGTTTTGCCTTCACCTCCCATACCCTCACACTTCTAGCAGTTTAAGGCAATGCTGTAACTTTCTAGTTTAGTAGATATAGAATCATCTATACCAGTGGTCAGCAAACTCATTAGTAAACAGAGCCAAATATCAACAGTACGATTGAAATTTCTTTTGAGAGCCAAATTTTTTAAACTTAAACTATATAGGTAGGTACATTGTTATTAACTTAATTAGGGTACTCCTAAGGATTAGGAAGATCCACACTCAAGGGGCCAAAGAGCTGCAGTTTGCAGACCACGGATCTATACTGATAAAAGGGTAATATGCTAATTAGACCGGACATTCATCCGGACGTCCTTCCGGAAAAAGCCATGGTGGCGGGGGCTGAGGCAGAGGCAGTTAGGGGTGATCAGGCTGGCGGGGGAGGTCAGTTAGGGACACCAGGCTGGCAGGGGAGGGCAGTTCAGGGCAATCAGGCTGGCAGACAGAGGCAGTTAGGAGCAATCAGGCAGGCAGGCAGGCAGAGAGGCTAGGGGCGATCAGGCAGGCAGGTGAGCGGTAAGGAGCCAGTGGTCCTGGATTGCAAGAGGGATGTCCGACTGCCAGGTTAGGTCCGATCCCAGAAGTCGGACATCCCCTGAGGGGTCCTGGATTGGAGAGGGTGCAGGCCATGCTGAGGGACCCCTCCCTTCCATGCACGAATTTCATGCACCGGGCCTCTAGTATTTTATAAGATGAAAATGAGTAAAGGTGATAAGTCTATGCTTAATGTGATTTAATCTGAGAGTTGACAGTAGTATGTTGATTAAAAAGAAAGTTAGGGTATAAACTATGTCTCTCCACTAGGTGCAAAGGTTCTTTTAGCCTCCTACAACTCTACATCTTTGTGTTCTTTTTTAACAAAAAATATATTTTATTGATTTTTTACAGAGAGGAAGGGAGAGGAATAGAGAGTTAGAAATATCGATGAGAGAGAAACATCGATCAGCTGCCTCTTGCACACCCCCTCCTGGGGATGTGCCTGCAACCAAGGTACATGCCCTTGACTGGAATTGAACCTGGGACCCTTCAGTCCGCAGGCCGACGCTTTATCCACTGAGCCAAACCAGTCAGGGCAACTCTACATCTTTTTCCACAATCTTCCTCATTTCCTCCAATCCATTGTTTCTATTCAGGTATATAATATGTTATTAAAGTAAAAGCTTATTATTATTTATGTTTACTTTCACTCGATAATTAGACAGCCATGTAGTCTATTTTCAAAATATGCTTATAAAGTATAAAACTTACCTCTGGCAATAATGACAGCTCTCTGTACTACTGAAGGGAGTGGGGAAAGAGTCATGGCTTAATAAATATCTCTCCATAATCCTGGGGTTATGAAAGCAGCTCTGACTCCTGTCCTCAGTTAGCAAGTGGAAAGTTCTATTGTTACTCCTGTTACCCCTTAACAGGACTCTACCTGGATGTCTTACATCTAAGCAATCCCGGCCCTTGAATCTGAATAGGAATTTTCAAAGCTGACATTTCAAAAAAGGACTCACATTATAGCCATGAAGTTAGCTGCAAACCCCTTGAAATAATCTTTTCCTTACACAGCACCGGGAAAGCTATAGTGGACACTCAATAAAAATTTAATAATATGTTATTAGGTTTTTATTGAGTGTCTGTTCAATATAGCTCATATCAAGTCTAGTAGGAGAGAGAGGCCTGAAATAGGTGAAAATGATAGCATATCTCCTCTGCCTATATTAAAGGAGCCAAATGTTAGAAGTAGAAGTTTTATATCTCCAGAGTCAAGGCTCAATATTATTGTTTTCTAAGGCTTTTCTATTATTTGATTCTCATGCCTAAATCTTTATAATAACTTTTTCCTCTAATCATAAAAATAATATATGACCTGAATGTTCACAGCAGCATTATTCATAACAGCCAACTGCCAGGAGCCGGTCCATCCTTGCTGTTTCAAGGGACCTGGCATATTATGGCATACTGTTCTTAATATGTTTGCTCACCTTCTTGGCACTATGTGTTTTAACCAAGGTCACCTCTCTGAGAAAGGTTGTTTCCCCAGGTAGGGATTTTCCCCTGAAGTTAGGGAGGGAATAAAACCCCTTAACTAAGTGCCAGGCGGGTAATTAATCACTTTAACTATGAATAATCATGCTTAAGCTACATAATCTTTACTCCCTGGAATGGAGATAAGAAACGCCCTAACCTTTGGAATAGAGATTGATAGGATTGAATCAACTGGTATAAATACAGATGTAACAAGACAACAGGACACAGAACCTAGAGACAGAACCGAGAGACAGAACCTAGCGAGAGAACATGGCAAAAGATCCTGGACAGAAACTGGCCACAGAACCTAGAGACAGAACCTAGCAAGAGAACACGGACACAGAACCTGGCTGGAGATGCTAACCAGAACTTTGCCAGAGATCCTGACCAGAACTTGGCTAGAGATCCTGGCTAGGCTGCTGATTAACTGAACGCTGCCTCTGTGTCGTTCCTTCTTCGCTGACTCCGTCCACACCTTTGGGGACCCCGAGACCTGCTGGGGTTGGACCCCAGCAGCCAACAAGTGTAAATAATCGCAATGTCCATCAACTAATGAATACACAAACAATGTCCACACAATAAAACATTATCCAGTCATAAAGATGAAGTGGTGGTACATGTTGTAACATAGATATATCTTGAAAACATGTTAATTGAAGGAAGCCAATAACAAAGACCACATATTAAACAATTCCATTTATATGAAATGACCAGAATAGGCAAATCCATAGAGATAAAAAGTAGCTCCAAGGCCTTAGGGCAGAAAGAACTGGAGAGTGATTGATATTAGGTATGGGATTTCTTTTGGAGGTGATGAAAACATTCTGGAATTAGACAATGGTATAGTTGTATAGTCTGGTGAATAGTCTAAAAACCATAAATTGTATACTTTTAAAGCGTTTATTTTATGGCATGTGAATTATATCTCAATTTGAAAAATTCACTGAAAAAAATACAAACAATACTAAAAACTGTAATGAAGAAAATAACACTCACTCAAAATCCCTACACCTAGAAAGAATCACATTTTGGTGACCATTCTTCATGATTTTCTCAGATCTCTAGCTGGGTGGCAAATACACACACACACACACACACACACACACACTCTTATACATATAATATACATATAAATTATAGCCAAAGGTACATTCATAGACAGACACACACACACTTCATATTTTGTATAGTTCCAATATGCAGTTTAACAATAGCCCTAGCAAAACAGTTCAAATTTCAAATTTCAGTTGACAAGGTATATTAACTGTGAGTAACTGTATAAACTAAAAACTTCAGCCCATAAATCATTATATAAATAATAGCTGTGCATCATGATCAGTGATCAATCATGTCACTTCTTTGTCTGTCGGTGATTGGTCAGGGCACATATGTTATCCAATTCATGCAGACAACAAAACATATACCAATTTATGCTTCTTTATCTCCCAGTGGTAAACCCACACAACATTTTATACACAGACAAATGAAAGAGGGAATCATCAGGAAAAAAAAAGATGAAGGTCCAACAAATAAGTAAAAAGTGACAGTGCTGAAAATGAAATTAAAATAAGAGTGTCAAGAGCTGCTTGTGTCGCCCACCCCCATCCAAGGAACAGCAGCCTCCTGATCACCACACCCTCTGTCTGAGGAACAGCAGCTGTGTGTGAAGCCTCCCCCCACCACCCAGAGGAGCCACCACAACTGTGAACAGCACCCACCAGAGGAGTTGCTACCAACTGAGGAGCAGCCGTTACAACCACCCGAGGAGCAACCACAGCCCGAGGAGCCACTGCCACCCAAGGAGCAGCCACTGAACGACTCAACATCTAGATATGGCGGTACGATCAAACATGGGTAGACAAAGAAACCCCCAAAGGAAAGAAAAGGAGGACTCGCCAGAAAAGCAGCTAAGTGATACAGAGGCATGCAACATGACAGAAAAAGAATTCAGATTAAGGGTCCTAGAGTGCATAAACCGGATGGAAGAAAAAATCAACAACTTATGCAAGAAGCAAGAAGAAACCGATGAAAAAAATCAATAAATTATGTAAGAACCAAGAAGAAATGAAGAGTGATATAGCTGCAATAAAAAACACCATTGAGCCGAAACCGGTTTGGCTCAGTGGATAGAGCGTCGGCCTGCGGACTGAAAGGTCCCAGGTTCAATTCCGGTCAAGGGCATGTACCTGGGTTGCGGGCATATCCCCAGTGGGAGATGTGCAGGAGGCAGCTGATCGATGTTTCTCTCTCATCGATGTTTCTAACTCTCTATCTCTCTCCCTTCCTCTCTGTAAAAAATCAATAAAAAAAAAATGTTTAAAAAAAAAACAAAACACCATTGAAAGTTTCAACAGTAGACTAGGAGAAGCAGAGGAAAAAATTAGCGAATTAGAAGACAGGGAAACAAAACACACCCAAACTGAACAGGAATTGGAGAAAAAAATTAAAAGACAGGAGGAGAGCCTAAGGGAGCTATGGGACAACATGAAACGAAACACCATACGAATAATAGGGGTGCCAGAACAACAGAAAGAGGAACAAGGGTTAGAAAACCTATTTGAAGAAATAATACCAGAAAACTT